AAGGAATTCATCTACCAATGATGCAATTTATACCATTAAGAGTCAGTCCTTCCCTTGACTTTCATCCGAAAGTACATTCACTAGTGTATCCGCAAACAGAACAACTTAGCCGGGCAAAAGAACCATCCAGAATCAAAGCCAGAGGTGGCTGTGTCATAATTTATACTAATTAGGGATGTGTTTTCACATTAAAACAAAACTTGAGCTCTGTCAGAAAAGCACAAAGCTGTAGCAAGCTAAATTTCCTCACAGATTACTCTTGTTCTGCACATATTATTTAGTAACACTAAAGTGAATGGAAATCTTTCTTTTCTAAAATGTAATCAAGGGAGATTTACACAGCTGACAATTCTGTCTCAATGAGATACTGTTCAGAGTTCAGGGGACACACCAGTTCGGTAAAAAAGTTGCTTTAAACTGATCTGGGGTCATCAGAAAAGGAACACATAGAGATTTTATTTAAAGTGGCTTGTAGGGGTCATAGCCTAATTTGTGCAACTTTGTGTATAATTGTAACTATGGCACTATGGCAGAAAGCTGAACGAAGTCATTCCATCAATTTATCTTCCTGTTTCAGAACTACTGCAGTAATTTTAAACGTTTTTAGTAAGTTAAAATCTTGCCTAGTTTGACAAGTAATAATAAAGGCTTTTCTGAACTGTCCTTCCACTGTAGTTAAGTGTTTCTGAAGTAATGAAGTTAAGGCGTGGCAACTCTATTTTAAAAATACAGACCTACTACAAAAAAAAGAGAGATTCCCGTATAAGAGGAAGTTAGGCCATAGCAAACAACATAGTAGCTTCTGTTCAAGCTTAATAAAGTAAATAACTGCACTGGAAAATATTCTGTTCTGGGCTTTCTGCCATACAGGAAGGGTGTTGAATAGGTCAGTGTCCATAATTATTATCAACAGAAAAAAATACCAGAAAGCAACAGTTCGGCTCTTAATTCTTTCACGTTATCATTTTCAGGAGTGAAGTGCAATTGACATCTTTCTCCCCCTGGATTCATTCTAATGTGTCTATACATTTTAAAGTTAAGCTACAGTTCTGAAGTTTGTGTTGCACTAACTATTAAACACAAGTTTAATTTTATTTTTTTTCTTTCATCAGAATTGAGTTACTTCATAGTCCACATATTTAAGAGTCTTTTTATGAATGGAAAGGGAAAGAGCTTTTAACCTCCTTTTTAAACTGAAGAAATATCCCGTTATCATTTTTTCTCTTAAAATAAGACAAAGATAAAAACATTCATTGGGTGGGGAAGGGAATGCTAACAAACGCCTTTTCACTCTATACTTATGCATCAGCCCATTACAGACAAGGCTGTCACCATCCTACGTCCAGTTGAAGCAACGAGGATTGCACGCACATGGCACAAAGCCATTCTGGACAGCAATCACAGCAGGAAGACTAACGGCTGGTGATCACTGGCAATTACAGGGCTGCCATTTATTGCAGTGTCCCTCATCAGCTGAGCTACCATTACCAGCATGTTCTTTGTGACCTGGAAAATAAAACCAACCAACCTCAAATCACCACAAACGTACCTGAAGCAAACGAGTTCTAACTGACATTTGTGACAAACTAAGATGGCACGAGGCAAACTACTGTCTCAGATGACAAGAAGCGACTTAAGACCACTGTGACTCGGGCGACTGTGATTAATATCCTTCACATTGGAAAATTTGATATCCGTTTTAATAAATTATTAGGGTTGCTATTGTCATCTTCAAAAATTTTTGAATTTAGGCAGGAAAATAAAGATCCAAATTTCAACATCCTTCAGAAAATTTTCACTTAAGAATGATGTTTCTATGGGTACAAAATCTGTTGATATCGAGATAATATAATCTAATTCTCATCTTTTTTTAACATTAATATGGGACAACATATGAGAACCAATGCATCAAGTGTTTACATGCGGTGTCTAATGCCTTGAATCAAGTACTGATTTATAAAATAAGTTCTGAAATGGAGACAGCAAAGCAGGTTTATTCTGAAATTCAGATGTTACAATTTATGTATTAAATCAAGAGAGATTATAATTATTTCTAGTTCTGACAATTAAAGCCAAACTACCACCTTGCATTCTTTAAAAAAAAAAGTTTTTTAAAAATCAAACAACAAAACTGAAACCTTTAGTTAGAATGTTTCTTTGCAAAACTGCAATTTTTCCCCTTAATGACCTTTACAAATTAAGGCTGAACTCTATTTCAAACACAATTTTTCTTATAGAGACTAAGATACATGTCTATAAATGTGTTGCAGATTTAAAATATACTACTACCTTGGTACTGATAACTGAAACCAAACTCAAAGTTTAAAACGCATTCTTTAACAAAATACTATTAATCATCAAATCTTTATGTGCAAATTTCTGTAACAACATACACAAATTTGCAGAATGTGCAAAAAGGACTGGTTCTCAACGCTGAATCAAATCTACACTAGCTTTTTTCTTCTTTAAACAACAAACCTGCATTTCAAGTCTGATTTAAAACAACAGTGCATACATTCCAAAGGATACACAATACCATAATGATGCTTCTGTTCGATGCAATTCAATGAACCCTTTATATTCAGACTGTATCATTCTGATATAAAAAATTGACTGTACTAACGCTAAGCAACACATTTTAGAAACAATGATGTTTTCTTCCAGCAATGCAATGAAAGACAACAGTTAACTCCACAATGCATATTGAATTTCTGTATTGCTGAAAACAAGGCATATACCTGTTCCTTTACAGAAGCTAAAATGGTAGTGGCAGTAGTCTCTGGTTCCATGCCTGGGCCCGTGGAAGTTTCCTGTGTTGTCCGCGGCAGCACCTCCTCCACCATCGGGGTCTGCTCAGGGGCTGGCATTTTGCCTGCAATAACAATATTTTAAAATAGTTTACATTTTGAGCCAGTCATGTTTAAAATTCAGGTTTTCAGGATTATAAATTCTCTTCTCTTTTTTCTAAAACCTTTTTACATTTTGAGCCAGTCATGTTTAAAATTCAAGTTTTCAGGATTATAAATTCTAAAACCTTGCCAAACTTAACCCAATTAACAGAGAATCTAGTGTCACTAATATCAACACATCTCTATTACTGTACTTCACCCTCACAAACTCAAATCAGAATTACATACAGAAGGTAAAGACCAGGCAAAAGTAAGCAGGCAGCATGATGTTTAAAGATTATTTTTAAAACACTGTTTTGTGGCAGTTACTAAAAGTAGCAAATTTTTTCACAAAATGTGTGAAAAAAACCCTAGTATCAAACGTTAAGAACACCTAGGATCAGTAAAAGCCTACCAGATGCGCGGTTTGACGTGTAAAGAATGACATGTAACAGCAGAATGCTTTGCTGTTAGAAACAAACCATGGAAGAGACTAATTATGGTAATAAAAAGTTAATAGGAATAATGCTCCTAGTGTTCTTTTTGCAGAAGAGAAAATTAAAACACTGAAGTTAAACCAATTGCCCTGGGCTACGGATAGCACGGAAAGGACTGACAGGATTAGCGCCCAAGAATCCCAACCTTCATTACTGCGGAGGCAGTGCACTAACAGTTCCGGTACATGTGAAAAAAAACAACAGTTAACTTGTTTAATTATAGAAATCACTATTAGCTAATACTACAGAGATAGGTACAAAGTTTGTTTAATACTTTTAAAACAGCAAGTAGGTGGTATTCACGTAGCTTCTGCACATACAGCACGCCTCAGTTTCCTTCAGAAAAAAACAAAGGTTGTGAGGTCTAATGTTAAAAGTGGTCCATATTTCATATTAGATTTTCAGAACAAACTCAACATTCCTAGCGGAGACAAATACAAAGAGCAGCTTCCTTCCCTTCATTTCACAAAGAGCAAGGAGCAGCTTACACTGCAGTCTCCAAGGCTGAGAACGTACCCATAAGACCTCTCAGTCCTGACCTGTTTTAACCATAACCTTCTCCACCACCTGCCTTTTAAACGCTGAATCAGCATAAAGCTGGGCACACACTACCCTAAAAGACACAGAAGGACTATCTACAAGATCAGTGGCTGTGCTGTAAAGCTGCACGCTTCTGATTTGGTTGGAAGAGTGCTTCAGTTGACGCTCTCCTGGACTCGCCCTAGGGGACTGCTCGCCCTCTCGGGCCATTTTCTGTGCTTGTGCCTATAGAGGCAGAGCACAGCAAGCAGCGCGCTGCCAGAGGACTGCTGTGCTACCACAGGCAGCCTTCAGCAGAAGAGATGACTGGAAACCAGAAGTGAGATGATGTAAGGAAAAGTACTTTCTGCTTCATGCCCGGTGAGAGGGATGACTTCTGTTCAGGCTTAGGAGTCACTTCAAGTGCGTTAGCAGGTCTTTATTAACCACGCTGTTCTAGTCTGCTAAAAGAGCTGGCAACAGGGCTCGTGTGCCATTTCACATCAGGCACTGAGGGAACCAAACAGCAGCTTCAGAGAAACTGAAGTGAGATGAGGGATGAGAGGCAGCAGTCACGGGCGTAACACAGTGCAGGAGTCTGGCCACCCATCAGCTTCTGCCACTGCAAATGGAAAAAGAAAAGCTGCTTCCCAAGAGCCTCGCTCAGGCCGAGTTACTTTCTGGAGAAGGGCCTCTCCTCCCTTTAGTGACTGCACAGGTAATGCTGGGAGACTGTCCAGCAACCCAAAGAGTCTGTACGAACAGCTGTTCTCACCCTACGTCTGTATCGCATTTACCGTCAGGAACAAGGAACTGCACGAATACCGTGCTGTCAGGTTTCTGGCGTTAGGATTGCAGAGGGAGGTCTGAGCAGGCCAGTTTAGGGACATGGAGAGCAAGTCCTTCTCTTCTTCCCTCGCCTCACCTTCACAGCATCCCAGCATCACCTGGATTGGAAAAGCCCTCTAAGCTCATCAAGTCCAACCATGAACCCAACACTGACCAGTCCCCTATGACTAACCCATGTCCCTCAGCACTATGTCTACACGACTCTTCAATCCCTCCAGGGATGGGGACTCCACCACTGCCCTGGGCAACCCCTTCCAATGCCTCAGAACCCTTTCAGCAAAGAAATTCTTCCTCACATCCCATCTCAACTGCCCTGGCCACAACTGGAGCCCATTTCCTCTTGTGCTGTCCCTTGTTCCTTGATTGAACAGACCAGCAGCAGGACCGAGACACAAACAGGACAACATGAGGACTCTGCCACGCTCTGTCCTTGTCCCCATCTCACAGCCGTCACTCCAGAGCACGTTTTCTCCTCTCGCACCACACCACAGCACCTCCCCGCCCCGGCAAAGCCCTTCCCACCCGCCCGGCCTCACCTCGCCCCCGG